TCTCTCTCTCTCTCTCTCTCTCTCTCTCTCTCTCTCTCTCTCTCTCTCTCTCTCTCTCTCTCTCTCTCTTTTGCGCGCGCGCGCGAGCGAGCGGGGCCCCTCTTGGGACATCCATTAAAAGACGAGCGATAAAGAGAAGATTAGCATGGCCCCTGTGCGCAAGTAAGGATGACACGCATAAATCGAGCAATGGTCCAAAAAATATATATATAAAAAATCAAACAGCTGGATATATAACGTTCCCTTCTTCATATGTGTGGTATCGGGCCTTGCTCAACTACACGACATTCGAAATGTTTGTGCGCTGCGGCACCCTTGTCCAGAGAAATTTGGTCTGCCCGGACAAGTCAGATGTCTCTGGACACCGCACAGTCGAAATATATTTCGAATGTTCTGCAGTGGACCACGGCTCATCAGCAAATGACCAGTATCAGCAGCGCTGGAATTGTTTGGAATACGACAGAGATGGCGTTTGACCCCAAGAACAATGCACCCTCCCTTTGCAGTCTCCCGGCAGACTCCAGTGATTTCATCATATGTGCCCTACAGGCCCCTACTCTTCCTGGTGATTGTGTTCTGAAGAAACTGAACAATGTACACAAAGGGCCAGAGGGGGTTGCTCATATCAACCCCACTCTAACTTCCTTATTCAGCACCCTGATGAGTCGGTGAAACTCCGATGAAACAGTTTGCCACAGCCCCTCGTTTCTTGTCCTCTTCTCTTCTCCCTCTCTGCCTACGGTTTACTGGGCAGCTCTGTTCGACGATAATATATAAATATATATGGTCAGACAGATATATAGTCAAACAGAGCTGCAGGGTAAACTGTAGGCAGAGAGAGAGAGAGAGAAGAGGATAAGAACCGAGGGGCTGTGGCAAACTGTTTCGTCGGAGTTTCACCGACTACTCCTGCTGATAAGTCAGTGAAACTCCGACGACAAAACAGTTTGTCACAGCCCCTCGTTTCTTGTCCTCGTCGCCCTCTCTGCCTACGGTTTACTGGGCAGCTCTGTTTGACGATGTATACATATATCTATACTCTATAATCTTGCACGACGCTGCTGTGAACCCGGGGGGCCTGTTGCTAGGAAATTGGCGGCGGACAAGGTGCAGGCCCACGGGGAACTTGCACGGAATGCAGTTTTTTTTTTTTTTTCCATTCGCACAAGTTCAAACGGAGGTGCGGGCGGGCGGGCCCAACGGGAGCTTGAACACGTGAGTTCGAACAGCGGTGCGGCATGGTGGAAGAGTATGGACGGGGGGGGAAGTATGGCCGTGCGCCTTGCTTTCATTCTGGAAACTTCATCTGCGCAGTGGAGATTGAAAACGGCTGAGCACCACCCGGAAGTTCTTCCACCACGGCACGTTGTTGTCCACACACACACACACACACACACACACACACGTGGCAGTGTATATTTCCATGTTCCAGCGGTAGATTCATTCAATTTTGCTCAACCTATCGATGAAAGTACCATGAGGTCAGCCGCG